TTCAAAGCACATGCTTACATATTCCATGCGCCATCTCTGGGTTGCTTCATTCAAATCAGAAAACGGTATTGATGGCGAAGAAAAACAGACATACTATTGTTGGCTGCTTACTACCTGGCCCATACTTGAGCTTCGGGGGCTGGAGAACCCTCGCAGTGATGGGAAGAGGTCCAGCAGCAGTGTCCACAGACATTCCAAAGTTTCGAACATATTCGGATTGGCCATATGATAATACCTCCGGAGAGTGAAATGAAATAAACATGCTACCCAGGACATGACTTACTGTATTCAGACCATTCGTGATACTGTTAAATCGTTCGGCAGGTTTCATGGTCGAAAATTCGACTACGTCCTTCGTTTTCTCCGGTGGGACCTGCTTCTTCATGATCTGCCCTGGCGGAACATGACACAGTTCCATGGGCAGCAGAGCTCCAGATCCGACCTAATGACGATTAACAATGATTTTATGTGAAGATATTTGAGAGAAACGAACTTCAACACAGATATTCGCAGGAAACCTTAGCGGTTGATTTCCTTGAGACCTGAAGTAATCGGCGACGGTCGTCCTTCTTCCATTCAGATTGAAAGTGAGCGCATTGGCGCCAGCAGCGGAAAGCTTTTTTATGATCCGGGGTGGTGCATTTGGCCTAGAACTAGCGGTATGTGGAGTGACAACCTTGACGCCGACTAGGAAACGCTGCAGTCGCAATCTTTCGCGGTCCGGCATACCCTGTGAAGGAGCAAGAACATTCGGGTTCTGTTTGCCAAAGAAGTCAAGACAAAGGTCGATCAAGTTCCCTGGCCTGTACATCATGCCAGTCGAAATGTCAACATTGATGAGCATACGCCCAATCCCTGGTCGGACAGACTGAAAAAAGCCTCTCCAGAGAACGATGCCCATTCCAATGTTCTTCGTCTCTTTATCGGTGAAGAACGAGCGGACGTTGAACGGATATTTCTCACTAGGATCCATTCGAACTATCACGTTGAGCGACTATACCATTCGTGTTAGAATAGTTGAATCTCTACTAATACCAGATTTACCATGATGGCAGTAAGGACCTGTTCGTCAATTGAATATCGTCCACTAACGTATGCACGGAGAACTCTGAATAGAGCTTAATTGATTCAAATGGATACCAAACTTTTCCAAGGCTCACTCGGGATTGATCTCGTTCACCTTGGTAATCTTGACCTTGTAAACTTTGGGTGGTCGGTCACTTGACGTGGTTTGAGATGCTAAAATGACATCGAACTTGCGCAAGGTAATTTGTAGGCACAAAAACACCAGGACATGACTCCCTACCTGTCGAGAATTTGTGGTACCAAGGGCGAGTTCATATGGAGCAAATAAATTCTTGCGTCCATCGAAGACCGTCTTACTTGTGAAAATTTGAGGTGCGACCTGTTCTTGAAGCTTGTTCAGAAGGATCCTTCTGATTCTCGGGTGGAGGTCAGACGAAAAATCTAGGAGAACACATACACGTCGAATCATGTTGAGGCAAGCTCTATCAAATGTACGTACCAACTAAAATGCAATATTAATGTCCAGGGACAGCGGTCAAAAGGTCCGATGCAGCTCAAACATACCATCGTAATGCCTTATAATGGAATCTGGTATCGATGTCACGAAACTATTGGTGACGATAGCCAGCTGTCTTCCAGCCGTGCCATACCCTGGTCTTCTCACACCGACAGTCCTAACTTGAAAAGGTTGTATTGTAGTGTCAAAGTGGCATCTACGACAATATCAACTCACCACTGCGTGCAAGGCCAACGGGAGAAACCCCGGCTTGAATGTCTCCACGGTTCGCATCGCGACCGCGTGAGGCTCCATGAGAAGGAGAGTTTCTCCCCCTGGAGCCACCGCGGGTAGATGCGCCTCGAGGGGGCATACTGGCTTTCGCTGCAGGTAATGGAAAAGGGATACGAAGAAGAAAGAGAGGTACGAATGGACTTTATATCATGTTCGGCACATTGCGGGTAACATGTGACCAAACTACACGCGCAAGAAGCGACTCTGTGGGCTGCTGCGGCCAAGTCACAAAGAAGTTGCGAAGCAGCTGCATCCAGAGTTTGATTGACAGCTTGAAAAAAATTTCAGCACATCCCACAGTTTTGGAACCAAAGGACATTCAGCAAAGGGTAAGTATTTTGATGTGCTGTATCCCGATCATGAGCATGCTTTGCACAGCTCTCTCAGATGACATTGCTGCGCCCTTTTGTGCAATAGCTGGGCAAATTGAAACGTGAGTCGTGGAGTGATGTTTAGGTACACAACTCGATCAAAGCCAGATGTCGCCGAACAAATCAGAATGGTTCCAGAGAACGTTGGTCTCATAAGCAGCGTTTAAAACCTTGTCGTAATGAAGAATTGCCAACGAGAACATCGATCACAAGCTTAGGTGTGTGGAGAAAAGCTGCCAGTTGTAATTCTATCGGTAAGAATTTCGGAATAGTCATCGCTATCATTGCTCTTGTGACACATTCCTTTCGACAATTCGAGGCGTTGCCTGTCGTTGAATATTTCATGGCTCGCTAAAATATCGACTGTAGCTAGCTTCTCTCCTGTCAATACTGTTTGTTACATCAGCATTCTGACGAGAATTCTAGACTGGTCGCAAATTTGTGATAAGGCGTGTCCAAGAACGGTCGCAGCAAGGATAGATAAGCGCTGGTTCCCACCTGCAAGTGCGGCAGTCGATATCGCCTGCCACGGACATGAAGGCCTTAGATATCTCAAAACTTCCTTCAGAACCTGCGGTGGGATTCATGATAACTCCAGAGTTGCCACGTTAAGAAACCGCTAGAGACAAATGCGTTGCGATTACCGAAAGATAGATATCAGGTCCTCGATCCAGAACCGGACTTCCGTGTCCATTACAAATGCAAAGACTGCGGATGGAATTCACACTTGAGGTTTTTGGTGAAGATCTGGAATTTGTGCTGAGCCGCAGGTTGTGACGTGATAGTAATACGATTCCTCTGGCTGGTTCGGATGTCCGGCTTTACAATCGTGATCACAAGGCCGAGCTGAGAAAACCTTAGATGTACATGAGGTGATCAGGTGGAATTAACACTATCTGAATCCTATTCACAGATACATTCGTCAAGAAAGATCAGTTTCATCGCCCGCTCAATTGCCACAAGCGAAGCTCCACGAGAACATCCACAAGGTGAGGAACTAACGCGGCATAGAAGAGTACATACTTGGCAGAAGACTTGTGCCATGTCCAATTGAGCCATGAGACTTGGCAAAATCCATCACTTGCGTGATTTCTGGTCCACTGCCGCCAGCATCTCATAAGGAGTCTTTAGTCAAACATACTTGTACTTGAGCTTCTGACCTTCACAGCCTTCACAGATTGAGCAATACTCATGCCAACAGGCATCAAGTATATTTCTTCTACACCGTATTCACTGTATGTCCTTTTTTGATGCTGACAGAATCAGACTGAGATAATCGACGATGGACAGTAGGAATCGTTATTTTCAGCTTGCTACGATAAAAGAGTATTAATTTGGTTGGGGAGGACCATGGTATCACTGTAATCAGACCTAAGCAATCAATCTTTCCCCTCATGAAATGCTTCGACGAAACGAGATACCTTAACAGCCGGTTGTGGCCTCTCAGGCTGTGCTGGAAGCTCGCGTCTACCAGGAACAAGACCGGGTATACTAAAAAAAGCCACAGCCAGTACCTCCGGCATGGCGATGAGAGGATACCAGAAGCGTTCGTTATTCGCCTTTTCAAAATCGTTCACGGTAGCCATAGCGAACCCTTCGCGTACCAACAAAAGAAGCGAAATCAGCAGTAGGACGTAGGGTTGGAAACGACCAAATGTCCCTTTCCCTAGCTTGTAGGTATCATCTACAACAATGAGAATTAATCATGCGGCATGGATGGCTGGGAAGGAAGAAGATTAAGCGACATACAGCGTAGCTCGTTCTTGGCGACGATTAAAGCCTCATATGCCACAAGAACAGAAAGAACGAGAAAGATAATTGTGCTCGTCGTATGGAGTGATTTCCCGGTTGATATGGTATTTGAATCATTGGAGGTATTGATATCGGAGATACCAACACTACCCATAACGATTGCTGCGAGGAGTACCAAGCGAAAGAGGTGACGACGCCGGATGATATGTGAGATAATGCTCGCTGAGATGTGCTCCGAGAGCGACTCCCTAAATCCAAGCATGAAGGGTCTACAGCGTACAAAGAAGAATCAAGCATACGTACCGGTCAAGGACGAGATTGTAGGTAGAGTAGATTAGCGAGAAGAAGCCAATTGCAAACAGAACCTCGGCTCCTATCAGTAGACCAACATCATTCCCGCCAGGTCCTGCTATGATGGCTCGTAGAATGAAGGAAGTGAGGCGGACTAGCATGTAAAGCAAGTCATGATTGTCTGATCTGCATCTCGATGAAGGATGAGCACTTACCTGTACAGAAAAACGTGAGGGAATAGTATACACGACTCCGCTCTCTGAACGATTGGAAAATGAACCCTACAAGAAAAAGAAGGTATAGAGCGGCAAAGACAGCTGCCGCCGGAATAGATTGGATTCCGAAGTACGCTGCGTCTGATTCTGTGATTCCCATCGCGTTTCCAGGCCGGGAAAATATACAGAGACAGCCGAAGCGCTATTTCAGCAGATCCAAAGTCTCAGATGCTCCTCGTCCTCCTTTAAGTTCAAAAGGTCTCAGTCTACCGGTGACAGGAGGAAATACTTACTCCTCTCTTCCTTCATTCCTTTAAAAATCAAAGCCGATAAGTAAACTATGATCTCTTTTCAAGGAGCTTCGGCCTTTGTCCAGACTTTGAATGCCGTTGCATTCCGTGTCTTTTTACCATGCGTTTTTTCCCTTGCGCGGTATGAGTGAATGTAGCAACAGAGTGACATGATGAAAACATTCGTTCTTATCGCATCGTCATCGGATTTATCTTTCCTTGTCATTGTAGAATCATATTATTCCGGCCATATTCCCTAATATGGGGCCGTGTGGCGTAATGGCAACGCGTCTGACTACGATAGCTGGAGAGTGGGCTGAAAGTAATCAGGAGATTGCAGGTTCGACCCCTGTCTCGGTCATTACCTCTGCGCGTACAATATAGATTTATTCCTTCTTTCTGATTTTCTTGGAATAGATTTGACTGAGCGATGGAGCTTCTTGTTCAATATATTAAAAAATTCACTTGTAACGCATATTTTGACATGTACGAATTCGAAGCTGGAATGCCATACTCCATTAAAAGTAGAAAAGGCATGGAAACTGCTCCGGCTGGGAACAACCTTGACTAAGGTTAAACTTCTCTGATGCTATGTCCGTTCCTCTCCTCATAGCCAGGATTCACTGTCTCACTTCACCCAAATGTAATGCGCCTTCTTTGCTTAGGTGATCCTGGCTCGAGTTCAACGTTCAACCCCAGTCAGAAGTCCCGATATTAGGAAACGTTTCTAAACATTACCAGACATTAAATGTATCTTAATGTCCTGTAATT